GAAAACAATGGACTTGCTGAAGTTGTAGACATTGGTGATGTGTGTCTTGAGACTAGCAATGGCACAAGGTTAGTATTGAATAATGTTAAACATATACCTGATATTCGTTTGAATTTGATTTTCACAGGTAAGTTGGATGATGAGGGGTATTGCAACACATTCAGTGACTGTCGATGGAAGCTCACTAAAGGTTCTATGGTTGTGGCTGGAGGTAAAAAATGTTCTTCATTGTACATTATGCAGGCAAAGTTGTCCATAGACAAAATTAATACAGTAGACAATGGAGAAACAGTTGAGTTATGGCACAAGAGGCTCAGTCACATTAGTGAGAAGGGTTTGTCAATATTGATCAAGAAGAAGCTCCTTTCAGGAATGAAAAGTTCAGCATTGAATAAGTGTGCTCACTGTTTAGCAGGAAAGCATAATAGAGTTGCATTCAAAAGCTCCCCTCCTTCAAGAAAGTTAGGTGTTCTTGATTTAGTGCATTCTGATGTTTGCGGTCCTATGAAGACAAAATCACTTTGTGGCTCTCTTTATTTTGTTACTTTCATAGACGACTATTCAAGGAAAATTTCTTGAAAACTAAAGATCAAGTATTAGATTCTTTTAAGCAGTTTCGGGCTTTAGTTGAGAGACAGATTGGAAAGAAGTTGAAATGCACCAAAACTGATAACAAGGGAGAGTATACTGGACCTTTTGATGAATATTGTAAGCAACAGGGTATCCGACATCAAAAGACACCCCAGTTAAATGACTTAGCTGAGAGGATGAACAGGACACTGGTTGAAAGGGTAAGATGTTTACTTGCACGAGCAAAGCTACCGAGATCCTTTTAAGGTGAGGCTTTGAGTACAGTTGCACATATATTAAATCTTACTCCATGTGTTCCTTTAGAGTTTGATGTTCCTGATAGAGTTTGGACAGGTAAAGATGTTTCTTATGATTAATTGAGTGTTTTTGGGTGCAAGGTATTTGTGCATATTCCCAAAGATGAGAGGTCTAAACTTGATGTAAAAACACGACAATGCATATTCAGTGGCTATGGACAGGATTTGTTTGGCTACAAGTTTTATGATCCAGTTGAGAAGAAAATTATAAGAAGCAGAAATGTTGTGTTTATGGAAGATCAAACAATACAGGATATTGAGAAATCAGAAATGATTTCAGTGCCACAGGTTAGTGATGACTTGATTGACTTGAATCCAGTTCCTTATACACATATTCCTACATGGGTTGATGAGGAGCAGCAAGAAGTGAATGTTCCAGACAATGAGCATATTCCTAAATATGTTGAGACAGATGATGCCGTTCCTAAACCAAAGACTCCATTAGATGCTTCACCAGAAATTCCAATTCGGAGATCCGTCAGAGACCAACGACCTTCCACCAGATATTCTACAGATGAGTATGTATTATTGACTGATGCAGGTGAACCAGAGTGCTATGTAGAAGCAATAGAAGATGAGTACAAAGGCAAATGGTTTGATGCAATGCATGATAAAATGCAGTCACTTTATGATAATCATACTTTTGAGCTGGTGAAGTTGCTTAAAAGTAAAAGAGCTTTAAAGAACAAGTGGATATACAAGTTGAAACAAGATGAACATACTTTAAAACCACAATATAAAGCTAGATTGGTTGTTAAGGAATTCGGTCAGAGAAAGGGTATTGACTTTGATGATATATTTTCTTCAGAGGTAAAAATGTCTTATATTCGTATGGTTCTAGGCTTGGTAGCTAGCCTAGACTTGGAAGTTCAGCAGATGGATGTCAAAACGGCCTCTCTACATGATGACATGGAGGAAGAGATATACATAGAACAACAAGAGGGTTTCAAAGTGAAAGGAAAAGAGGATTATGTGTGCAAACTGAAGAAGAGTCTCTATGGCCTAAAGCAAGCACCGAGACAGTGGTACAAAAAGTTTACCTCAATTATGATAGAGCAGGGTTATAAGAAAACTTCTTCGGATAACTGTGTGTTTGTCCAAAAAATTTCTGATGATGACTTTAATATTCTCTTGCTTTATGTTGATGATATGTTAATTGTCGGCAGGAATGCTTCACGAATTGAGTTGTTGAAGAAACAATTGAGCAAGTCTTTTTCCATGAAAGACTTGGGCACGGCGAAGCAAATTCTTGGCATTAGAATTACTTGGGACAGAAATGCTAAGAAGTTGTTCTTGTCGCAAGAGAAGTACATTGAGAAGATTCTTCAGAAATTTCATATGGACAAGACTAAAGTGGTTAGCACTCCTATTGTTGTCCACTTTAAGTTGAATACAAAGCAAAGTCTCACGATTGATAAAGAGAAGAAAGACATAGAAAGTGTTCCATGTGCCTCGGCTGTGGAAAGCTTAATGTATGCGATGGTATGTACACAGCCATATTTAGTGCATGCAGTTGGTGTTGTTAGTCGTTATTTATCAAATCTAGCTAGAGAGTATTGGAATGCAATGAAGTGGATCATGAGGTATCTTTGGGGAACTTCCAATTTGAAACTCAGTTTCGGGACCGAGAAACTTGAGTTAGTTGGATACACAGATTCCGACTTGACTGGAAATATTGATACTCGTAAATCTACTTCTGGTTATTTAATTTCCTTTGCGGGTGGGACTGTGTCATGGAAGTCAAGGTTGCAGAAGTGTGTTGCACTTTCTACAACAGAAGCTGAATTTATTGCGGCGACCGAAGCTAGTAAAGAGTTGCTATGGCTGAAGAAGTTCTTGGAAGAACTTGGGTTCAAGCAAAGGAGCTATGAGTTATTTTGTGACAACCAAAGTGTGATTCATCTTGGTAAGAATTCATCTTTTCATTCTAGATCGAAACACATTGATGTTAGATATCATTGGATAAGGGATGTTCTAGATGAGAAGTTGTTGGAACTTGAGAAAATCCATACAGATCATAATGGCTCCGATATGATGACGAAGGCTTTATCAAAGAAGAAGCTTGAACATTGCAGATTTATGGTAGGTATGGTGAATCCCTCCACATCGTTACGAGGGGGAGATTTGTTGGCTAGGTTCACTCCTAAGTGGAGGAAGCCCAATGAATTACAAGCCCAAGGCTTGAGCCCATATGTCTATTCATATGAAAAAATAGGGTTTCTCACTATTATTATGTCGTGGCCGCAAAAAGAACGTTTTTTAGAGACACGGTAACAAGAAAGAGCAGAAAATCTAAGTTTAAGGATATATATATATATATATATATATATATATATATATATATATATATATATATATAATGCTGACGTCGGATGTCGATTTGTGGTCCAAGTGAACTAAAATTTTGTCAGTGTGTTCGTGCCGCATTCTTCTCGAATCTGATCGGTTTGGTTTTCAGTTGAAGCTCCCTACATCAGGTTTTCGTGGGTTGCACCGAAAGTGCATTTTTGGTGAAATTTATCCTTTTATCTCTTGTGAAGTTCATGTCTATTGCCAAGAATGATGTTCTTGATATCTTTGCTGCTATGTACCTTAGTATTTACTAGAGAAGAACTTTGTTCACCCAATTTTGCTGATAGTGAAGATTTTTGGGTGGACTCCGGCCCCGTGATTTTTTATCTCCACACACCGAGGAGGTTTTCCATGTAAAAAATCGTCTTGTGTTTGCGTGCTTGGTATTTATATTCCTCGATTCAGTCGTTTCCTATTAGGTTTGCACAAGAGGAGAGATTATTTTATTTCGCTACGCTAATCCGATATTGTTTGGATTGTTATTGTTCTCCCAACATACCCAACATAGTCTTTGGGTGCAGTCATGAGAATGAAGAACAACCTGATCCAATTATGGAAGTATTGGAAAAATATTCCCCTATATAGTATTGTAAAATTAGAAATGCATCTTGTGGAAACAACCGGATGAAGGCGCGATTCTTGAAGGTGACTCAACACCCCTACACTTATATCGGTGATATATATACACTTTGGAAGGCATAAGTCTAGTGGGGGTTTAAGCTTTACATTCCTACAGCTGCATTTGAGAGAACGACTTCAGGAAATGGAGTCATAATCGACTCGGGCGCGGAGCTCAGTTATTTGGTCGACTCGGGCTCGCTTGCTTCGGCAGTAAGAGACATTGATGGGACTCACGAGTCAGTTCAAGTCCCCATCGATTTCTTTGAAACGTGCTTCAGGGGTGTTGTTAACAGGACATCAAGGTTTTCCCACCTTACTTTTCATTTTAGCTGGTGGCGCAGAGCTGAGACTAGAGACGGAGAGCTTGTTCTATCAATCTACACCAACTCTTTTCTGCATGGCGATTGCAGGAAGTCACCGAGACTGCTCTACGATTGGAATGAATGCTCAGCAACTTTACAATATGGGATATCATATCTTAGGGAGATAATTGTGCTTGAGGAGGATGCACTGTGAGCTCCTCGGCGAATGACGGATTGCAGTATCTTAAAAATTGTAAAGGAGGGTGAAATGTGCACATCTTTCATCTGCTATTGGTTCTAACCTTTGTTCAGTTTAGTCTCTCTGGCCATCTTATGGTTTTGTCAACATTTCATCCTTCAAAATGGCTTATAGCAGGTAATCTAGGAATAGGTTTCCAGTAATTCAAACTTCCATCAGTTTCATTAGCAAGTTTTGTCTTCCCATCAGGAATGCCAATGCCATGCGAACACTCTGGTGCAACATTTGGACATGTCCATCAGCAAATAAGCAAGTTCCAAACCAGGTCCCGCAATAAGCAAACTTCAAATCACGTTTTTCCGGCTTTAAGGATGCACTTGTTTCGTGAAAAATGAATGATTTAGAAAATATTTTTTTAAAAATGATCGCTTGTTTCGCTGTTCAATTGGGCATCATTTAGCATTTAAATCAAAGGTTAAGATTATTTCCTTTCGCCAGATTAAGGTTGAGGTTTATCGACTTGGTTTATGCCATTAAACCATTGTGTAGGCTATTTAAATCCATAGATTGTTAACTGAGAACCAATTGAAACTTCTCTCAAGTGAAAACTGCTTTAGTTTTTTACGTGCACCTTACAAATGCAAAATGACTTCGTGTAAATTTCTTCATAGCCTAGGAATTGCCAGTGCAATCTGATCAGTATTCACACTCTCAAAAGCAGTTGGATTTCTCAAGCAAAGTGAAAATAGGATGTGAAACCGAAAAAAAAAAACTTCAGACTTGCAGAAAACTCGAATAACAAATGCACGAGAACATATCTCATTGACCTGTCAAAGCATAGACAACCACTGATGATTGGAGGTCGCGATCCACTTTGAAGTGAGCATGGAAGAATCTCTTGACCTGCAATCGTCGATAGTTCGAGTCATCAGGAAGAAACATAAACCAAAGGAAAATGCACAGGGATTAAGACAGTAGTTGTCGAAGTTGAAGTTAATATCTACCTCTTTGAAAGAATGCAACAGCAAGAATTCCCTCAACGCTCTTTCTTCTGATTCGAATAACACTATGTGACTTGGTAGTGACCAATCATTTGCAAGCTCTTTTACAAACCCCACAGGATCCATCATAAAACGGTCCGACTCATCTGGAACACCCCTCTCTTCACTGTCGAGCAAAATCGAATGCAAATCCATGACTTAGACCTCATATAGATAGATCGGTTTTTTACAGGATACCATCAAAGATTACCTTGGTGAGCAGTCCAAGAAACGCATGGGCAGGTCCCGATGAAGGGTTGAATAGTAAGGTGTGGCATGGCAGGGCATAAGGAAAAGGATACTCTTCACTCTATCTTTTGCAGCTTCTCTCGAAAGAAAGTTCATCACATCCTCAGATCCTCTCTGTCCAGCATACCAAAGTACTCAGATATTCAACAAGAAGTTCCAACATACATGTAACAATGAATAACGAAAAAGGTCCTAGTTAACAGAGCCATTCCAGCATTCCAATTTACTCAACGTAAAAGGATAAAGAAAAGGTTAAATGAAACCAAGCATACCAGTTTTTTTTTTTTTTATCAAAGGCAGAAAAAATCTGGAGTACCTGATGAACTAAGCTCATGTACAAGGCCATAGGGATGTTAGTTGCAAGCAAGAAGCAGATGGCCCATCGCATTCTTGAGGGCCATTTAGTGTGATGTTTCAAAGCTTCTGCTGTCTTGTTATCAGAACTGTAGGGTGTCGATATTGCAGCTAGAGAAAATCCCGAGAACATCAAGGTTATCGGAAGCACGGGGAGAACAAATCTGGGTCCACATTTCTGGTTACAAAGGAGGATAAGTCGGGAAAAAAAGTAAGGAATTCAAAGCAGCAAATACGCAATTACAGAGGGATCGCCTGTACCTGAATTCTTTGTGGCCAAGTACGCTGTAAAGTACTAAAACCCAGGCAATAAGCCCAGAAAGCCTCCAATTTCTGGACATGATGATGCCGGCTAAGGAGAACGGCAAAAATGTAAAGAGCATCACTGTGAATCCCTGAGTAAAGTACCAGTGCCACTTGTGTGTTCCATAGTAGTCGCCTCCAGAAGAAAGAAAATTGAACTTGAGAAAGTTCAGAGGTACTAAAACCCATGAGCCATACACTAGCCGATCGAGTAAAGTTGCCAGTCCAAGCACCAGCGCCCTATACAGTATATTAGAAATGCATAAATCAGTCGCACAAAATGCATCCACAGTTGCATGCCATCTAATAGCCACAAGTACCAAAATAGATAGATGCATGATTACTCACCCAACAGGAAGAACCTCCAAAAAAATGAATCTCATTCTATCGCGGGCCAAAGAAAGCTCTAGAAGACCAACATACATCCATATAATGGCACTTGTTGGTCGAATTACACACGCTAATGCTGCCACTACCACGCCCCATATCCTCGTCGATAAGGCATCACTACTGGATGAAACTCTCACACACGGCCAGTAATACAGCCCCATGATTGTAAGGACAGTTTCCAAACTATTTGACAATGTCCGTGTAATGCAGAAGAACATAAACCAGTTTGTCAACTCTGAAAATAACTGACAGAAAGTTAAGGTCAATATTATTAAACTTCAAGCTGAAAATTCCACAAATCAACAATTTGGTCCGAAAGGGACGATACAGATGCTGGCAATTGTAATAGCAAAAGGATACTGCCCATCTAGCGACACGATTGCCAAAAAGAAGGCGAGAGAGTTTATATGAGTAGAGATCACCAACTGCAGAAAATATTGACTGGAGCAGCCTTGGAGCCCTCATCTGCAAAGCAAGAAAAGCAGCTTCGCATATAATAGACGACAGTAACAGTATTGATCATTGTAATTCATCAAACTTATTATGGCAAAAGTTTTAGTTTCCAGTATTTACCATGAACCAAGGTTTATCAAGACCAAGTACTGCGAGAACTTTGTAAAGAAGAGCAAATATCATTGGATGCAGATAACCTCGGATACCCTTTTTCCATTCCCATGTTAGATGTCCATAGCTGGCAATTCATATATCAAACATTCAATGTTTATCCTGTTAGCAACAACACATATATAAAAGAATAGAACTTATGGAGGTTACCTTACCCAAATGCAATTTGATGTGCAACTTCCAGAGCTTGCCAATGCTCGTCGGGGTTGAAATATGTCTGTACAAGCAAGGAATTCAACACTCGCACAGCCAAACAAAGCAAAAACACTCTCTTTTCTGACAAGCATGGATATGATTCTTCTAATTTTTCTTCAGGGAGGTCTTTCAAATTCTGTGATATTTGTACACCACCAGCTGTAGCAGAAGCACTATGTCTCTGTCGCATGGTCGCTGCAAATGCATAGATAGTGATCACATTGTAGATAGGTTAGCAAAACAGAATAAGGATAATCGGAGTTTAATCAGACATAGTGATGAACGAAAAATAAACAAAATGAAAGCGCATTCACCATTCGCAATCAGAGCGAAATAACCATGCTTTGGCCAAAACTGCCATTATATCTCTTTTGGCTGGGAAATGAATCACCTTTCACAACAGTTTCACATGGATAGCCAACAAAAAAACATGCATATGTGCACATTTGTGGCATCCGCAACCGAACCCACAAAGATGTCACTTTCAACTTGCGAAAGTTCTTCGAGGTCAAACCAATGAAAGGCTACTTCAATCTAGGAAAGAGCCGGAAACTCGCTGCGCGTCTAAGTGCGAAAAGACAGTGCAAGCATATCCACTAAACCACGCTAAAGATTTCTTCGTTTTTGCTCGATTAAGATTGGGAGAACAAATCCATCACATTAGCACAACATGATTCAATCTATTTCAATATGACAGAAAAAACTGCAAGATCATATCCAGTTGGTTCCCTCCTGCAGTAAACTCGAACTATAACCAGCAGCCATTCAAGCATATCTTTTCGTTTTCTTCTTTTTGGGGTAAATCTCACTTAGCCCAGCTGCGATACGATCCAATTCAAGTTGCAGATAGTTTCAAAATCTGAACTTTACACGCGATGTGAATCGCGTAGCGGGGGACATCCCAGATCACGAAATGGGGCGTGCTCGTGCGCCTCCGCGGGCGTGTGGGAGAGGAAAGGAAGGGAAGAGGGCAGACGGGGATAGAGGAATTACCTGCGACGGCGACCTCAAATTGAGCTAGCGGCAGCTTCGTTCATTCACGAGGAGAGGAATATGAGACAAACTTCTTCTGGGTTGAAATTTATAGAACCCGCTAACTTATATCCGCTGATGTTTTCTATAGATTTGTAAAATCGCATAGAAAGGCGAGTGAGACAGAGGCCGAGACTGGGACCGACCGAGCCATCAATAGGGGTGATCAAGACTGATGAATCGAACCGAGAATCACTTAGACCGGACCGGATCGGTCGGTTAGATCCAGCAACCAAGGGTGTTAGTCTGGTTCCCGGTTCCTAAAAATGGAATCGGTGTTTGGAAAGTCCGATTCCCGATTTCAAGGGAGGAACCGGGCCGGTCACGACGATGCTCACGCCTCCTTTTTTAGTCTCTCTCTTTTCTTATTAATCGGCCTATTTAAGGTGAAACTCGGTGTTTTTGCCTAAATTTGTCTCTTACTAAACACGGAACCAACTGGGTTTTCTCTGCTCGATTTTTTTTTAAGAGATGTCAGTTCTGAACTATGAGTTTAGCTCAATTGCCTCAAATGGTGCCCATCTCGGTACAATAGGAGCTTCCCATTAGCTCGACTGTTTTTTATCATCATTTCTGTATTCTGTAAAATCAAAGCAATTATATAGATATTTCACATTGATAGGTTTTTCCATCCTCATGCATGCTTGCCTTTCTTTTTTTAATTTTTGGGAGGTGAAGTTCCGGAGACCTGTGAATATAGTAATATGTATGAAATCATTTCACTTGGTGACCAAAATCAAAGGTACTATTGATGATGCCGATTAAAATGAAGTGTTTAAAATGACCGGTTACACTAGACTACTCAGGAACCGGACGGTTCTGGAAATTGAGAACCGGTCCAGGTTCGCTAGGGGACCGATCACTCCTAACTTGAATGGTTCGGGACCAGGCTGGCGCCTACCCAATATTTTCTGCGTGTAACCAACTCCCGTTCTGCTTTGCTCATTTATGCCTGGTCAAAAGGTGTTTTGCATGGAAGAAGGTTCGTGCGAAGGATCGTGCCATCAAGATCAACCGTATTAGGTTGACGTCCATCGGACACTTTTATGGGAAAGCTTAGTCATCTTGATGAACACAGCTGAAGGTTGCAGATTGTGGGTATGGCTGATGTCCAGATTTTGTCGCGCAATCGCCCTCGTCCTCCATTGAAAAAGACAGTGTGGATTATATAGTGTTGGTTTCCTTGGTCAGCACGTTCCTAATTTCGGTCGCCCGTATATCTTCCCAAGAGGCAGTGCTGCCTGCTGTATGTTTTACTTCCAGAGGTTGCCAGGCATTTTCAGATTGGCTTCCACCGGATACTGCAAAAGGAATATACTGATGATGAAGAGATGGGCATCTCAGCGTTGTGATTATGGACGTACTAAACACACCTCACCTCGTATAAAAAAACCCTGAAATCCCGTTTATGTTCTTGAGTCCCGGTTCACCGCCTTTCGAGAAGCTGTGGGATGAGTTTTTGCCAAGTAAGATTGCACATTTTTACTCTCTTCCTATTTGTTACAGTGGATGCATTTAGTTTGTGCATTCTCAAGTCTTTTCTAGTCCTGAAATAAAGTAGCAAATAACTCCGTCAACTTCGTTCCAGCTTCTTCAGTACTATGCTTCATTGTTGAATTGCACCCGTGGGATTTAAAATCCAGTAGTGGCTAGAAGTGCAATGTAACTCGATTAACTTTTCTCACTAGAAAGATTCACAACTAAATACAACATACTTCTGGTTCATGGATGAAGCAGCAGAAAGGATATACTGCAGGATGAATTGATCGATTGTCTGATAAATAAGCAAAAATAGGCAAACATGGTACAACTACTTAGTGCATACCCCTGGACCATTCCACTTAGTGATCTGAAGGAATGATTCAAGGCAGCCATGGTAATAAATTTTATCAGGAAGTAACGCATCCACCTTGGTGAAAGCCAAGGTATCCTTTTCTGAGTCATAACAACTGCATAGATGTTCGATGGAGGAAAATCATCAAAAACGACGTTGTCATATAGACTAAATCTACCACGTGCTGAGCAACTAGACTCTTCGATGTGAGAATCATCCATATAGAACGCAAGAATAATAATTTGAGCAAAGGAAACAATCTACTCCCTCCCTCTCTACCTCCCTTCCAATGCCTCAATTTGTGATTATGAACAACCCATGGCTCTATTTCTAACACGTCATAAATTTGGAGTAATTGGTCATTCGGTTGGAATCATAAACTGGGCATGTCATTCAACCTCAAACCGAATAGAAGAAGATGATCCCCTTTAGAAAGATTGGTCTCTTAGGCTATGAACCAATTTTCTAGCCAATTTATGCAAGAAAGGGGAAAATTGTGAACTCATCGACACAAGTTACATAAAAATTGTAAAAAACTAGATGACTGAGAATTTGGATTGCAGAATTTCCAGTGACTTGAGGCTGCATCACCCTCAGAAGGCAGATGCAATGCAGCAACAGATTTTGGCAAAGGTTTACCACTAACTTTGTATAGTATGAAAAGCATGTCATATACTAATACAACCACATAATGGCTGAAAGATAACATTTGCGCATTTTAGTTGCCATGATAAGCAGTTTCATAGGGCAAGGCAATTTCTGAACATCTTTAAACCAGTAAAACAATCCCTGCAGTGTTCCCTCTCTTCTATCTTCAATAAGAGATGCTTATACCTGCTAAAACACAATAAATCCTAATATCACCTGCAGAAACAAACTACAGCAAAGGGGAAAATGAATAGCAAAGTATGAATGCGAACCGAAACGGGTGCTCGGCTGTGTAAAAGTTAAGCTTATTTGCTTAATTGCCTTTATTTCAAGACTTGAGATTGCACAATCTAAATGCATTCACTGAAACAAATAGGAAGAGAAAGAGTTGGGATCTTTACCTGGCAAAAACTTTATCCCACAGCTTCTCGAAAGGTGGTGAACTGGGACTCAAGAACATAGAAGTTCTTTGATTTAAGGGAGAGGAGTGTTTAGTATGTCCTTAATCACAACTCACTTCACTCTGCGCTATACTCTGTTTCTTTCCCGCGGAAACTCTTTTGAACTTCCGCTTTTTACCTTTTCTTCCTCGTGGAAGCTCTGGCCATGACAGTCCAAGAAGAAGATTATCCGTACATTCATAATTTGCCCGACGAGCCTTGGGACTGGGAAGAAATATCTCTCCATCTTCTTCTCCACTCCAACATCGATAGAGGCTCGTACAATCTTTTACTTTCTCCCTCTCTCTCTTTCATATTGATTTCTTGACCCTTTTCTTTGTTTTTCGTATTCCAGAGTTGGGGAATGAAAGCGATTCCCCAATTGATTCTCAAGCTTCAGGACCCCAAATTCAGGGAATCTGCTCTTCACTTGCTTAGTTCTTTTCTTTTCCAGGTCTGTTCTTGTTCAATTCAATGCTTCAATCTTCTCATGATTCTGTTTACTGAAATTTTTGTTGTTTTGTCAACAGAAGAGGGAAGAGGACCCAGAGAACTATTACAGAGCGGGGTTTCTTTTGTTCCATTCTTGCAGTACTATGGCCATCCAATACAGGTCATTGCTCCTATTTACATTTTACTGTCGCATTAGCATTTGAATGTGTAATGTTGTGGAATTTGAAGCTGAATCTTTAAGAGACCATTCGGTGTAGATTTAGAGTATGACGAGTTAATGTTGTAATCCTTGAGATTAATGTCACTGTTCTTGTTGTTTTTAAGGGTTCCACGAAAGAGGAATTTTTAACTCAGCTTGCTTTGTTATCTAAGGTTATTTAGTCAGTGGTCTGCCAAGGGGTTTCCACATTGGTTGAGAATTTCGTTTTGCATGAAGATCAAGTGGGCGGGCAGTTTTCTCTTTAATCTCTTTGCAGTTCTTGTGAGTGACATGCAGGCTTTGTAAAAACTACTTTGGCACAATGAAAGAGAATCTAGTGTTTTCATTGTGTTCCACAGAGAAAGATTCTTCCCTATTTTCATCCGTACTGACGGTGATGTTTAGGGTGATGGGTGGATCTTTGAGTTGTGGTTGGTCTTGATCTTATGAAGCAGGAGGTGCTCTTGATCTACAGGATGATGGCTGATGGAAGTCTAAATGAGAGAGCATGCATGCGCCTTATCAATGTCATTATACTATTCCAGGTAATCTGAAAGCAACTCAAAAAGAAGCATGTCAAGTGCTGTCTTTTGCATTCGCATTATTGTTCTTGTTGTCCTTGTCTCAGTTAGCTAATTGCTTGATTGCAGTGCATTGCAGCTAATAGAGAAACTCAGAAACATTCATCAGTGTCTGAAATTGGCTAATCACACTCTAGCATTTATCTTGATACGAACGATCTTGTTTCCTTTCTTTTGTTAGTTCAGCCTGCATTGTTAACTTCTTGGTACCCTTACTACTGTTCGCATCCACACTGGAGGTGTATGACAATGTGAGAGCTGTTGCCTCGTCAGTGTTTGGCATTTTATGCCAGGTGCATTCTATTCTCCTTGCAATGAATCATCAATGACTTCATCTGATCTCAGACAAAAATTTACTTTTTCTTCCATATTAATGTCTTTCTTGAAGGCAAGAGAATCCAGTGCTGTCCAATGGGCTATTGAAAATGTGGTGGTGGAAGGATGCTTAATTAGCGTGGACACTGGAAACGAACTCACAAAAGTGGTGAGAATTGCCCTTGGTGTTCTATAATTTGTTAGCACCCTTTCACCTGTTGTCCACCTATTTAAGAATGGCCAAAGTCTGTGGGATTCTCAAATTCTGTCATTTCTTTATCAGATTGGACTTCACATTGTTGAATCCATACTTTGGGTTGACTTTGGAATATCGTACATTTTCAGTCCTGCAGCAGATCATCTGTTGAATAGACTGATGAGAACATGGGATACTTTGGTGCGTCATTTATCAGCCATTGTGGCCACTATATGACATTATGCTGCACAAGTCTTAAAAATACAAACTTTGAAATTTGTCTTTGTTTCAGGTAAATCAGATAGCTGTTGTCCATGACTTCCCTCCTCGAATCCTCTTTCCTACATCCGGTGCTACACTCTTATGTCATGATGAAAGGTAATTTATCTCATTTTCCTTTTGGTTGTGAAGCTGAAAGGTACTAAGCAAGCATTGCTACACTCTTATGTCATGATGAAAGGTAATTCATCTCATTTTCCTTTTGGTTGTGAATCTGAAAGGTACTAAGCAAGCATTTCCTCTTTCGTCATCCAAATGCATCCGGTATGCACAACCAGTGGATATTTGTGAGACGCTATGATTTATTGATGTATGTGCGGTTCATTATAAGTCTGTGCTCCATCAAACTGCTTGCGACCTAGTAGATGCTTTTGAATCTTCTAGTGCTTAAATTGAAAATGAATATAGTGCTGCAAACTTCTAGCACTCAAGCAAATATTCTACTGTTCTCGATTTATGTAGCGACTCCTGATTCTTAAGTTAAGACCTAGCATTCATGTCTAGCAGGGGACACAATCTTGTGAAGCAGTCACTTCCTGAATCCTTCATCAATGGCACTTTTCATGAAAGCCTGAAGGTACTTGCGGATAATTTGGTATCAGAGTAATTCTTTACGAAGGATATGCAAATCTTGCAGCCATAATCTGTGGATATATATTGCAGGAGTTTCCCGTAATTCATAGATTGCTTTCACAACTACCACTGATCGCCGGTATAAATGACTCACGAGCGGCTCCTTCAGTTCACGAGATCTCATCATTCAGAAACGAAACAGGACTAATGGTGTCGAGTGTTTCCCGAAGCTGCTGCATTTCGGCGTTCGGGTGCTATATTGCATAATGTAGAAAACCAGTTCCTCGGATTATTACTTCGGAGAGAGAAATTAGCAGATGTTAACCCGCGTCTTTTGTTGCATGTACAAAATCCTCCGTAAACTGCATTTTTGCTTGAAATTCTTGGTACGATCCTCGAATCCTCAAAAGTCTCCACAACTTGTTTTTCTACGTTCCTCGTTTTACCGTCCATGATCACGTCTTGTGTAAGATGACTTTGCAGGTTTGGCAGATTTTTCTTTCTTTTATATATGATGATTAGATTAGGGAACAACTTCCTGGTCTCTGGATTATCAATCTGGCCAGCAAATCATATTCATTGATCTCTAATTCGGTTTTACTTCTGGAGACACAGGTAAAGCTAATTTAGGATATCAACTGATCATGGATACAAATTGTATTAAAGGCGCAAAATAAACAATTCTTTGAACTGTCAATGTTCCTTAGTCTTTTTCGAGCTTGCGATGATAATTTGACATCGATTAAATCCGACAAAACCAGGCCTTCTTACGCCGGGGAAGGGGCTCCTTCGGCCAGCAAGACACACTGATTCCACACTTGCTTGCTCCTGGGCACAGTGATGGAGGCATTCTTGCTCAAAGCGGGCACGGAGATCATGTAGTTCACCATCGCCTCGTGGCACTCTATTCCAACCAACACGAGCTTCTTGCAGCATTCAGGGGTGAGCTCGTCCTGCTTCAAGAATATGTTGTTGAAGATGCGGTCCCCGCACTCCTCGGTCAGCTTGGTAGCGCATCTGACCAGGTAAGTTTCCGCCTCGGGTGCGGGTGCGGGTGCGTCCTCGTAATCCTCCGCCCGCGCGACGGACAGCAGGGCGGCTCCGCCAGCGATGAGCAAGAAGGCGAAGAAGCGGAAGCTGTCTGATCCTGCCATGGCTAAAAGAGTGGGAAGGGAACAGAAGCGGGAGGTGGTGAGATGAAGGGTGCGAGCCGGTTCCATCTTATAGAAGATTTTGGGAGGTGTGGTTCAAGAGGGGAGGAACAAGCATTCAATTCACTCTTGGCATTCAAGAAACTGCCTCAATGATGTCGATTGCATCACTTTTCAATTAATGGCATGGCTTCAGTTACAAAGTGACGGACTTAAAGGGTTCCTTGTTAACGGACCTTGGAATGGAATGGAATGGTGGAGTACCATTTCATGAACTTTTTAAATCAAGAAGCTTTATCACTCTCAAGCGAGACAAACATGGCGACACACAATCAACAATCATCTCCCCCATTTCCCCAGTATGAATTTACCCTTCAATCTTCCCCCATTTAGATACCAAAATCGATAATCATCAAAATAAACAAGATGGATCCCGAGCTTTCCCGAAGAAAATTTAAGCTACCATTATCATTTCCCTTCAATTTAGCAACTGAGAAACTGGATTTGCTACCTAAAATCAAGAGAAAATGATACAGATGATCCCTAAACTTTGGTTTAATGTGGTCGCTGAACTTTTAACCTTTTGCCCAATGATACATATCCAATCTAGTATCTAAACTATACAAAAATGTTCAATGTTGTTTCTGAATTTGAATTAATGAAAAGATAATATTGAATATTTTCATATCCAGTTGCTAGATTAAATATGTATTAAAATTCAATGACCACATTAAACAAATTAAAAATTCATGAATCACGTTGCAAATCGAGCCGAAATTCAGGAACCATATGTGTCATTATAATCAAACCCTGAATTTTCTTTACAGAACAAACACAGTAACAAGAGAGCTTAGAAGATACTAACCTTTGGGTGGAGGCAGACTTCGCGAGCCAAGCAACGACAATGGGTGGCGAGCGAGGGGATGGGGTGCGACAGTGACTCTAGCTGCACCGGTGCATTAGCGGTAGAGAGGGAGTGTGTTCAAAATTTGATGTAATTTCCCTTAAGGTATAAGGGTATTTTAGTCTAAGAGAGTAAAAATTATTTTCTATTTTTAGAGGATTTGAATTTCTTTATATATAAATCAATAACTTCATTCACCACCCTTATATCACGCGTCATCAAATTTTCATCATCGACTAATGTAAATATTATGAAAACGAGCGATCGAATGATTATATAAATATAATAGTAAAATAAAACCGGATATCAAATTTATGTGATTTAATCGATGTGACTCACATTCACATGGTCCGGAATAATTCTTTAAAATGAATTAGGGAGGTGCCAATGAAGACTTCACTTGGGCGCTTTGCTCTGTTTCTTTCCCGCGGAAACTCTTTTTGAACTTCCGCTCTTCCCCTTTCCTTCCTCCTGGCCAAGCTCTGGCCATGGCGGTCCAAGAAGAAGATCATCCGTGCATTCACGATTTGCCCGACGAGCCTTGGGACTGGGAAGAGATATCTCTCCATCTCCTTCTCCACTCCAACATCGATCAAGGCTCGTACGATGCAATCTTTTACTTCCAACCCTCTCTCTCTGTCTCTCTGTTTCTCTTGCGCTCCGATCTTGGTTTCGCGACCCTTTTCTTGTTTTTCGTGTTCCAGAGCTGGGGAGCGAGAAATCGCCTTGGGGAAGGAGGAAGCACAGGCTGCGCTGGTTGGGGAAGCCGAGAGCGATTCCCCAGTTGATTCTCAAGCTTCAGGACCCCAGATTCAGAGAATCTGCTCTGCACTTGCTCAGTTCTTTCCTTTTCCAGGTCTATTCTTGTTCATATTCAATGCTTCCATCTTCTCATGATTCTGTTTACTGAAATCTTTGTGGGTCTGTCATTTGTCAACAGAAGAGGGAAGAGGACCCAGAGAATTATTACAGAGCGGGGTTTCTTTTGTTCCATTCTTGCGGTACCATGGCCATCTTGATACAGGTCATTTCTCCTATTTACTTATCACTGTCACGTTTGCATTTGTATTTGTGATGTTGCGGAATTTGAAGCTGAATCGTTGTTAAGCGGCCTTTCGGTGTAGATTCAGAGTATGGCGAGTCAACGTTGTAATCCTCGTGATTAATGTCACTGTTCTTGTTGTTCTTAAGGGTTCCACGGAAGAGAAAAGTCTTTTGACTTTTTTAACTCAGCGTGCTTTGTTCTCCGGGGTTACTTAGTCTGTGGTCTGCAAAGGGGTTTCGAGATTGGTCGAGAATTTCGCTTTGCTTGAAGATCGAGTGGGCTGGCAGTTTTCTCTTTCATTTCTTCGAAGTTCCTGTGAATGAAACTAGTTGACAAGTTTTTACTTCTCTCTATTAGCCTGTAAATTGGGGAAAAGGAAACGACTGATACTTTTAACATGCAGGCTTTATAAAAACTGCTTTGGCACAGTGAAAAGAGAATCTAGTGTTTTCATTGTGTGGCACAGAGATAAATTCTTCCCTATTTTCATCCGTGCTGCTGGTGATGTTTAGGATGATGGGTGGATCTTTGAGTCATCGTTGGTCTTGGTCTTATGAAGCAGGAGGTGCTCTTGATCTACAGGATGATGGCCGATGGAAGTCTAAATGAGAGAGCATGCATGCGCCTTATCAATGTCATTATTCTATTCCAGGTAATCCGAAGGCAACTCAAAAAGAAGCATGTCAAGTGCTGTCTAATGCATACTCATTATTATTCTTGTTGTCCATTTTCTCAGTTAACTATTTGCTTCATTGCAGTGCATTGCAGCTAATAGAGAAACTCGGCAAAAGCTCATGAACTGTAGGCTTCGGAAACTATCATCAGTGTCTGAAATTGGCTAATCACTCTCTAGCATTTATCTTGATACAAATGTTCTCGTTTCCTTTCTTTTGTTAGTTCAGCCTGCCTTGTTAACTTCTTGGTACCCTTAGTACTGTTCGCATCCACACTGGAGGTGTATGACAATGTGAGAGCTGTTGCCTTGTCAGTGTTTGGCATTTTATGCCAGGTGCATTCTATTCTCCTTGCAGTGAATCATCAATGAATTCATCTGATCTCAGGCAAAATTGACTTTTTCCTCCATATTAATGTCTTTCTTGAAGGCAAGAGAATCCAGTGCTGTCCAGTGGGCTATTGAAAATGAGGTGGTGGAAGTATGCTTGATTAGCATGGACACTGGAAACGAACTCACAAAAGTGGTGAGAATTGCCCTTCGCTTTCTATAATTTCTTAGCTTCACCATCACCCGTTTTCGACCTATTTAAGAATGGACAAAGTCTCTGCGATTTCTCAAATCCTGTTCTTTCTTTATCAGATTGGACTGCACATTGTTGAATCAATACTTCGGGTTGCTTTTGGAATATCATACATATTCAGTCCTGCAGCTGATCATCTGCTGAATAGACTGATGAGAACATGGGATAATTTGGTATGTCTTTTATCAGCCATTGTGGCCATATATTATGCGACTTCATGTTGCGCAAATCTTAAAAATTAGAACTTTGAATCTTGTCTTTGTTTCAGGTAAATCAGATAGCTGTTGTGCACAACTTCTCTCCTCGAATCCTCTTTCATACCATCCGGTGCTACACTCTCTTATGTCACGATGAAAGGTAATTCGCCTCATTTCCCTTTTGGTTGGGAAGCTGAACGGTACTAAGCAAGCATTTCCTCTTTCGTCGTCCAAATGCATCCTGTATGCACAACCAGTGGATTTATTGACGTATGTGTGGTGCATTATAAATCTGTGCATCGTCAAACTGCTTGCAACCAAGTAGATGCTTTTGAATCTTCTAGTGCTTAAATTGAAAAATGAATATAGTGCTGCAAAGTTCTAGCACTTGTTTTTCAGGCAAATATTCTACTGTTCTCGATTTATGTGGTGACTCCTGATTCTTAAGTTGAGACCTGGCATTCATGTCTAGCAGGGGACATAATCTTGTGAAGCAGTCGCTCCCTAAATCCTTCGTCAATGGCACTTTTCATGAAAGGCTGAAGGTATTTGCTGATAATTGGGTATCAGATTAATTTTTTATGGAGGATATGCAAATTTTGCAGCCATAATCTGTGGATATATATTGCAGGAGTTTCCCGTAATTCATAGATTGCTTTCCCAACTACTACTGATTGCCGGTATAAATGACTCATGAGCAGCTCCTTCAGTTCACGAGATCTCATCATTCAGAAAAGAATCAGGACTAATGGTGTCTCGGTGTTTCCCGAAGCTGCTGCATTTCGGGGTTCGGGTGTTATATTGCGTAATATAGAAAACCAGTTCCTCGGATTATTACTTCGGAGAGAGAAATTACCAGATGTTAACCCAAATCTTTTGTTGCGTGTACAAAAATCCTCTGTAAATTGCATCTTTGCTTGAATTTCTTGGTCCGATCTTCGAATCCCGAAAAGTCCTTAACTTGTGTTTCTGTTTTTCCTTGTTTTACCGTCCATGATCGCGTCTTGTGTAAGATGACTTTGCAGGTTTGGCAGATTTTCCTTTCTTTTATATCTGATGATTAGATTAGGGAACAACTTCCTGGTCTCCGGATTATCAATCCAGCCCGTAAGCCATATTTCATTTATCTCTAATTCAGCTTTACTTTCGGAGACACAGGTAAAACTAATTTAGGATATCGACTGATCATGGATACAAATTGTATTAAAAGCGCAAATAAACAACTCTTTGAACTGTCGTTATTCCTCTGTGTTTTTCGAGTTTGCGATGATAATTCGACCTCGATTAAATCCGATAAAACCAGGCCTTCTTACGGTAGGGCAGAGGCTCCTTTGGCCAACGAGACGCACTCTTTCCACACTTTTTTGCTCCTGGGCACAGTGATGGAGGCATTCTTGCTGTAAGTGGGCGATATGATAATGAAGCTCACCATCGCCTCGTGGCATGCTTTTCCCATGGACACAAGCTTCTTACAGCATTGAGGGGTGAGCCGTTCCTTGTCCGTGAATATGTTGCCGAAGATCTCATACCCGCACTTCTCGGCCAGCTTGGTAGCGCAGTCGACCAGGTACTCATACGTCTCCGTCGCGGGATCGGTCCGCGCGACGGACAGCACGGCGACCCCACCGGCGATGAGCAAGAAGGCGAAGAAGCGGAAGCTGTCTGATCTTGCCATGGCCGTCGAAAGAGGGGGCAAGGGAACAGGAGCGGGAGGTGATGAGATGAAGGGTGCGAGCCGGTTCCATCTTATAGAAGATTTGGGTGGTGGGTTTAAGAGGGGAGGAAGAAGCATTCAATTCACTCTTGGCATTCAAGAAACTGCCTCAATGATGTCGATTGCATCACTTTTCAATTAATGGCAAGGCTTCAGTTTCAAAGTGGGGGACTTAAAGGGTTCCTTGTTCATTTTGTGAACTCAAGCTCAAGAAGCTATATCAATCTCAAGCGAGACAAACAAAGATGAATTTGCCCTTCAATCTTCCCTCATTTAGATACCAAAAATCAAGAATCATCAAGATAAACAAGATGGAACCCGAGATTTCCTGAAGAAATTTTAAGCTACCACCATTATCATTACCCTTTGAATTTAGCAACTGAAGAATTGGATTTGCTGCACAATATCAGAACCCTGAATTCTCTTTAACAGAACAAGAAACAACAACAAGAGAGAGAGAGGGAACTGCTATAATCACAAATCTGTCCCCCCCCCCCCCCCCCCTCCCCCTCCAAAATTTGTATATCGCTTGATAAGGAAAACCCCACTTTAAATCAAGAACTTCCAAACAAGAAAGGGAAATTAGGAGGAGAGGATCGTTCAATGTACAGACTTGCCGTGATTGTAGCCGTAATACGACAGGTACCACTTGACGAATCTCTTCAGCCCGGTTCGCAGGTCCGTCGTCGGCTTGTACCCGAGCTCCAGCCGTGCCGAGCTTATGTTGGCGTGCGTGAACGGGACGTCGCCGTTCCCGGGCATCTCCACCTCCCGCCGCCGGGCCTTCACCCCCAGGTGCCTCTCCAGCATGCTCACCATCTCCGGCACCGTCACCGGCGACGTGTTCCCCAGGTTGAAGATCCGGTACTGAGCCGGCCCGCGCTTCTTGCCGCCCTTCCCGGTGCTCTTGCCCGCCGTGTCCAGCGACGCCAAGCACCCCTTCACAATGTCGTCGATGTACGTGAAGTCCCGGGCCAGGTCGACCCGGTTCTTGCCCCGGTATATCGTGACCGGCTTGCCTTGGAGTATGTTCCGGGTGAACGAGAAGTACGCCATGTCCGGCCGGCCCCACGGGCCGTACACGGTGAAGAACCGGAGGCCGGTGATCGACAGGCCGTAGATGTGGTTGTAAGCGTGCGTGATCTCCTCGCCGGCTTTCTTGGTGGCGGCGTAGAGGCTGGCCGGCCGGTCGGTCCGGTCCGACTCGGAGAACGGCGACTTCTCGTTGAGGCCGTAGACGGAGCTCGAGGAGGCCCAGACGAAAGCCGGCTGGGGGTTCGCCGACTTGCAGGCCTCGAGGAGCCCGACGAGGCCGGCGACGTTGGAGTGGACGTACGAGTGCGGGTTCTCGATGGCGTACCTGACGCCGGCCTGGGCCGCGAGGTGCATCACGTGGGTGAAGGCCACGACGTCGAAGAGCTTGGCCAGGAGGCGCGCGTCGTTGACGTCGCCGTCGACGACGAAGACCTTCTGGACACGGAGCAGCGACGCGCGGGACGTCTTGAGGGAGGGGTCGTAGTAGGGGTTGAAGTTGTCGAGGCCGACGACGCCGTCGCCGCGCTTCCTGAGGGCGAGGGAGGTGTGGGCGCCGACGAAGCCGGCGGCGCCGGTGACGAGGACGGAGAGGCCGGCGGGGCGGCGGGGCTGGGCGGAGACGCGTACCTGCTTCTCCCACTGGATGCCGCCCCAGGAGGCGGCGAGGAGGCGGTTGCCGGAGGAGACGAGGCCCTGGAAGCTGAGGTAGGAGGCGGCGAGGGCGAGGAGGAAGAGGGCCCACAGGAAGGTGGCGCCGGCGGAGGCGAAGCAGCGGCGGAGGTGGCGGTGGAGGAGGAGGCGGTGGCGGTGGCGGCGGTCGGTCTTGAACTTGCCGGGGGTGGACGGGAAGAGATCCTCCTCCTCGGCCACCAAAGGGGGCATTGCGGTCGCTTCGCTTCTCCGTTCTTGTTCTTGTTCTTGATTCCTCTCTCCTCTCTCTCTCTCTCTCTCCCTGAAAATGGAGAAAAAGTTGAGATTTTTATATGTTCTTATCAGCACCGGCTGTGCTGATGCAAGGCAAGTTCTAGAGGAGAGATTTCATAAAAAAAGAGTGGTCACCCACAAACAAGGAAAGACGAGAGAAATTTATAGGCGTAGAGAGAGAAAGTAGAGAGAGAAATTTCTTTTATAGAATTAACTCTAAATATATAATAAATATAATACGTAACTTTCCTCACCTGGCTATTCTATTATGTCCCGCTGATATCACCTTGAGTTTTGCAGATGTTCCAGAGTTTTCACGGAAAAAACAAAAGTCTTTGGAACTTTATGAAGATGTGGGCCTAGAGTTTGCGAAAATTGAACAAATCCTCAGGAATTACGGGAAACAAAAAGACGGAAGTAGTTTGAATGGCTCTGATGATGACAATACTGAGGAACCTATCCATAAATATAATCTCTGAAGCCTTGCAATGCGTGTTGAAAAAATCAATTCTAGTGCCCCTTTCCCTGCATTAGAAGAATTAACAGACGCACATCATCGGTTCCTTAAGATGCATTCCGAGAAATTCAATTTCGCGTTGGGCAATAATCATACCTTCTGACTTTCTACGTCAGTGGGTACAGCAAGGGTATACACATCTCCACTATAATTTGATTTGATTCCGCGTCGTGCGAATTATAAAACCACATTATAGTTAAAAGTTAATTCTATAAAAAAAAATTTGAGTCGATACACTCGTGCCACGATAGAATATAGTGGATTAGATATAGTAAATATAATAAGTATAAAATCAGTTGGAGAATTTGATTTGATTTCGCGTCGTGCGGAAGTTAAAAAAACACCTATCATATCTAGAAGCCGATACAGCCGCGCCTCGATAGAGCATTGACTAAATGAATCCCTGATTTTTTTTTTCTCTAATATAAGTCACGGGCAATGTTGCATTCCTTTTGTCCCTATAAAACAATGCTATGGCTAATTCTTGACGCGGACATTTAAGCAAATGGTCAAGGACTAACGCGAAGCATATCAATTGATTTGGTCCTAGGATTCCTCTCGAGAATTGTCAAAACTCACGATGTTGTCCCCATCTTGGGAATTTGGTCAAGGTCGGGGAACGCGGGGGCGCCCCCCAATCCGGAAATTGCACTTACGATAGCTTGTCGTTTATTCTAGAACTCGTATTCTAGAACTAGATCTTATCAAAAATGAAAAATATTAATTGATAAAAAGTAAACTAGAAAAAAGAAATCTTTTTTTTGTTAAGTAGTGGCTTGAGCAGCCGAAGCAGGGGGGGGGGGGGGGGATTAGGGTGGTGGGTTCTTCAGCTAAGAAGAGATTAGACGTGTGGGAATTGAGTGGTGCTCTTAAATTAATTAAGTAACTAGGATTAACATGGGAAATTAATTAAGTTTTTCATCTGATGAATGCACCTTTTTTACTGATAGCTTGTGTAGACGCCGAAATCTTTTGCTCAGATTTGCTGGCTGCTTTAGAGCATTTGTCATCTCCCCATGGAGATATGGCCGGGCTCGTTCTTTATGTTATGCTTGATGTTCTTTCTTTTGTAAGAAAATTAAAGAGAGAAGACAGAAAAATAGTATTATGGGTAGCGTTCCTTAGGCATATAATCATCTTCTAAACATGATAATTCTTTATGCATGATAGGTTGGCAAGTCGATTATCTCCCCTTAATACTTTCAAGGTCCTGCTTAGGACCATATTTATTGCCCTCAAGATGCAAGGCAGCATGATGACTTGGGAAAATTACCAAAAAAGTCATCAACTTATTGCAACTGTGCCAATTCAGTTTTAAACTTTTTTTTTCTTGCCAATTAAGTCTTAAACTTTTTGCATTTATGCCAATTCAATTTATTTGGCCAATTTTGGCTAGAAATTACTGACATGGACGCCAAATATCCTATGTGGCACGACTGATGTTGATGTGGATAATTTTTAATAATATTATAATATTTTCCGAATTATTTATTTATTTATTTATTTTTCCTTCCCTTCTTCTTCTAGCCGGCAAGGGTGAACCTCGTCCGCCCATGGTGAGGTCAAACCTTGCCCAGCCATGGCGAGGCTCGCCCTCACCTCGGCGATCGGCCAAAGGAAAAAGGGAAGAAAAAAGAAAAGAAACAATAAATCAAAAAATAAAAAAATATTAAAATATTAAAAATTATTAAAAATTATCCACATTGACGCTGGTTGCACCATGTAACGTAGGATGGCCTGCGTCCATGTTAGTGATTTTTGGTCAAAATTGGCCAGATAGATGAATTGACACAAATGTAAAAGGTTTAAAATTTTTTTAATAATTTTCCTTACATGAAAATATAAGTAGTTTTTTTTTTCATGGAAAGCTATAATGTAGTTTTTCACATGAAAACAGTTCGATGGTTAAGGAAAAAATCATTTATTTTTAAAATAAAAACAAACATAACTTATTATCTTAAAAGCACATAATGTTTGTTTTTTATAATAAAAAAAGTGATTCTATTTATCTATAATTTCAGACTAATTAAGTGAAAATTTCAAAGCCAAAAGGCCGCAAATTTCTTCTATTTAAGAATTACGTGCAATTGATCACTTTAAAACTCTCTTTAAGATCACTCAAAAAAAAAGAAAAAACCATTTCAGTGATGCCATGGTTTTTTTTAATTGAAAACCTGTCCTGTAAGATCTATATGATTCGAAAAATATACGAATTCATCTTTAATTTAATAATAAGCTAAAAAATTTTAAAAAAATTGTTGAGAACCAGGCGGCGAGGGTCCATTTTCTTTTTTCTTTTTAATTTAGCTTATTTTTAAAATTTAATTTAAATAAAATTTTTATTAAAAATCAGATTTGAACCAAAACGACATCGTTTTAGACTTATATTTCCTGTTTTAGTCACATCATTACCACATAGAAGAGAAAAAAATAAAAGAAGGACATGTCAGCATTTTTCGGTACTTAAGTTAAATAGAGTTAATAGAAAAATTCGATTGCACTAATTTGTCAAGTTTTAGGGTTTGATTGTACTTTTTGCAAGTTTGAGAACTCAATTGCACTTTCGTGACAAGTTTTAGGACTTCCAGCGCACATATCTCTTTATATTCTTGTTGTTATGTGCTTCTTAATAATCATGTTACTTTTTTTTTTGGTCAAAAACAAGATCTTCCCTATTACAGTGGGCTAAAAGAACATTAGGTAAATGGACTAGCAGAAGTTTGCATTCGGTAATAAGTGGAGTGGCTTCCCCTGGAGAAATAATCATGTTACTTTAAACAAATTGAACTGGCTACAAGCAATTTGATGCTTGACTCCGGCTCTCATTGACCGACATCTGCCTTGTCACGAGGGTCACCTTCTTCTTATGTCAATAAAGGAAATAGATCATATTCATCACGGTTCTACATTGCCTCATCGGTTGACTTCGTGAGCCAGACTGCTTTTCATGGACTCTTTGGGGCAGCCGGAGAAACTTTACCAATAATGCAAAAACACAGCGGGTGCTCTCTCTTAAGTCATATTTAGCTTGCCTGAAAACTGTCTTCTTAAACGGTTGCAATGGTTTTGAGTCCCGAATGAATCAGAAACATATGCGAGACTAGTACCAATCTCCTGCGCGAGCAATGTCGATCTCTAGCATCTGTTTCGACATGCGCATCGATGAACCTCAGCATAATGAGAATGTCCCGTTCTCGACGTCGACGTCGTTTCGCACGATGCTACTTGGCTATGGTTATCGTTGCCCATACGCACCTCAAAATCTTACCTTGCTGAAGATCCTGAGCTATATATATCATGGACTTCAGCCTGACTTCAGCCCGAGAGAAGGCAAGAAGTCCATTTGGTTTAGTGATTTCACTAAGAATCTTGAAGTTCATCTGCCTCAATTATTTTCAGTTCCTGTTTAATTTATAATCTGCATTTAAGTGCGCGTAAGTTCTTGTGTTGCTGGTAGGGGTGAATATTAATATATCTAGGTTAGCTTTTGTTTGGCTCCAATTAGTCTACTGTCTAAGCCATAAGCAGAAAGTATTATTGACTCGATCGGCCAATTGAAAAGGTAAAACACTTCGTTTCGATGTGATTAGGTAGGAAGCAATAGATGTCGATAGTTATTAATATTCTTTGAATCAAAGCAAGATGGAGACACTAAGATCAAACCCTAGAAAGTGGTTCAAAAGACCACTGGCACACTCACATTACTTATTTATTCATAGTCATTCTTGTACTAATACATTGGTGATTGAGATGATATAACACAACACGCCACATGCTTATTTTCCCTGCCCTTGGTAACCTCCTGATCCGGACCCGGCCCTAGACCCTGCATAGGATCCGGCATATGAGCCAGCTTCGGAACCCGCACTAGATCCTGATCCCGACCCGGCCTGAGATCCTGCGCGAGACCCAGCAGACGAACCGGCTTTAGATCCAGCTCCAGAGGACCCGGACCCAGAGCCCGACCCCGAACCTGATGCAGATGCCGACCCCGATCCTGAACTAGACCCGGATCCAGAGCCAGAACCTGACCCGGCACCCGCTCCCGAGCCACTGCCGCCGCCCCCTAGCCCAACGCCTATCCCGATTCCAGCACCAGCACCAACCCCCAAGTTTCCAAGCCCAAGGTCCAGGCCGAGGTCCTTCCTTGCCACCCTACTTTCGGACAACATAAAAAGAGTGGAAACAAGCAACAACCCGAGGGATAAACACCTGAAACCAGCCATTGCGAAGACCCAAATGAGACAATCTACCTGAGAATACTAATGGGACTCGAACGCATGCACTGTTTCACTACGTTTCTGTACCAATTGCTGAAGTTATGTTGTGAGAAGGACAGTGTGAGAAGTCAGTGCTTTATATAGCAACAAAAAGAGAAGTTGGTATGGCATGAATGGTGGAGCACTTAAAAGTGATAGTACGCGTGTAGAGAGTAGCAATGAAGAAAGTGGAGAGAGCATGCGGAATCTTCATCTTTTTTTCGGTTGGTGAGGCTATTTAGGAGCTTAGCTGGCCAAATTTTGTGGCCAGGAAGGCTTAGTATTTGATGAAGATATGCAAGTCATATAATATATTGTCATAAATTTTGGATTTGGATGGTGGGTACAACCGATCCATCTGTTCCCACAAAGCATGGTGGAAGTATGATATGTAAGCTCGCAATAAGTTTGTGTAAAGAATTGGATAAATGCATAATGCATTGATAAGATGGACTTAAGATGCTCCAAAAATGTATTAAATAATTTTGGTACGTCAACACTTAGAATAAGAGACGATGATAGAGTTAGTTGCAGTATTGCCTCTTTGAATCATGGAGGACCTTATCATCCGGAGCTTATTATTGTTTCTTGGGAAAATTGTCCAATTAGTGTTAAATATATTGTACGGATGTTAATTCAGTTTTTAATTATTCAATTTCAACAATTTACTTCTACACTTTTGGGCAAAATTCCAATGCAGTCATTCCGATTAATTTTTGTTGGAGATCGCTGACGTTGTTGGCAAAATTGAAAATTTAAGAACTGAATTGACATCTATATAATATGTTTAGGACTGAATAGATAATTGTTCATAGTTTCTTATTAGCTAGATAATTGAACCGGATGTTTCTTGGGGTAACTTAAAGCATTCTAGAATTTCTAAATGTACACATGATGGACATACTGTTAGTCGATACATGATGACTGTCCCACAAGGGGCTCGGGGACCAAGGTTGACTTGCATCCTTCTACATCCAAATCAAGATTATGAAAAAGGGTTGGAAGGAATATGTGAATCTTTTGCAAAAAAATACATGAATATATTTCAAATAGGATATTGATGCCAAGTGCTTATGGGACACTTATTAACCATACTTGATAAAGAATTACTTTCATTATTTATGCTCTGATTGATCATAACACGAGAAAAAAAGTATTTCAAGAATGATAGACTTGTCTTTAATCTTAGAGCACCCGCTATCGAAGCTTTTTATATAAAAGAGGAAATAGATCACAAATTCACAATAGTGCTTAGAGTTCTAAAAGTTAAAGGATTTTAGGTGCTTCGGAAGTAACATAAATATTTTTAATTCAACTAAACATGGAGTACCAAGTGTTGCTAGATCTTAGAGCACCCGCTATCAAAATCTTTTGATACATGTTTGATTTAGTTCCTAGATTATTTGAAAATGTTCAATGTTGTCCTTCTATTAATTTAAGTTCAAGTACAATATTAAACATTTTCATGTAGTTCAAGGATTAGATTGAACATGTAGAATAAGTTCAAGGACCACATTGACCAAATCAAAAGTTCAGGGATGACATTACATATTGTGCTAAAGTTTAAGGATCACATTGAACAAATTAAAAGTTTAGGAATCATATTGCACGCTGGGTAAAAAATCTTTGTTTTTATTTTTATGTTCACCATTCATTGTATCATGCTATCCTATTTGACCGGCCAAATATGACAATAAAGCCTAAACTATGCCAACTGCCCTAATTTTTTTTGTTGTGTCACAAAAAATCCTAAACTCTCTCACTATGATAGAAATATCCCAAACTTTTTTTTGTATCACAAAAAAAATCCAAACATATACATGTGATATATATCATTTATTTTAGTTCCATCAATGATAAAAAAGTTCCTGATATTTATATCACGTGTACGGTGAGTATAATTTAGAGTTTTTTGTGATAGTAACCCTTATTTTTGACCCTCAAGTCGAGTGTACTTTGTATGTAAAGTACGAAACAAATTGCCCTCTCATTTTTCTAAGTACGTCACTTGCCCCCCATATCTTTCATGGGCTTGTTAGGCCTCAGCTTCAAGGAAATGCGAAGAAACTGAGCCCGTTGCTTTTGAGTCTACGCTCTTCAGATTCGGAGGTCTCCCCGAAAGGAGAAGAACTTAAGCTTTGAATTTGATCCTCCCGGCGTCAGCATCTGGTGCGAGACTCTTCTCGAGCTTTTCACTCATGGCGGAGGTAAAAGATCTCTCTCACTCTCTCTGTGTAGTCTTGACTTGGGTGTTCGTGCTTTTACCTGCTCGGTTTCGACGTGAGTATGGCTGTAAAATTTAACCGGGAGGAAAAACGAGAAAGAAACAGAGAAGGGATCGTCATGGAGCTCCGATCTTGATCGACATACATATATATATATATATCGAATAGGGTACAATGGCAACGAAAGCTTCGGTTTTTCTTTTTCTTCTTTCTTTTTGCAATTATCTTACTGCCTTTAAGCTTGATGGGTAGGGCGACGCTTAGTTTTAACTTGAATTTTGTGATTAAAGTTCTTCGCTTTGTAAGAATTGAGCCATATGGTGTATTGACGATTTGCTCGGTCGGTTTAATTGGGTTTAGTTTTTTCGTGTTGAAGGTTGGATAGGATCGACGTGTTCGAACTTCTGATGGGTTTATGTTGAATACGAGTAATGATTTTTCTTATGATTTTCAACTGGGCTCTAGCATGGATGTTCCATATGGCAAATGGAATATCTGGTGGAAACCGTTTTACCGCCTTGTTTCCATCATGACTAAGATAGCATTTTCTTGGATCTAGAAATTCCGTATCTTTTACGAGGGCCGGATATTCACGATTGTTTCTGCTTGTGACCTTTTGCTAGATTTCTGAGAATGCAAACGCGATGCAAACATTCTAGCAATGAATGTGCTCCTGTTGTTTTATCATCGCAAAATATCTCTTGGCTTTCCACTGCTGTTAGCATTCGAATGATATACTATTGTTGTACATTATGATCGTCGGGGTTCTGCTTTGGGCGGAAGCATGCTAAAGGGTGGTGCTGAATTGATAATAGATTTTGGTTGGCACCTGGTTGATCAATGGTCTACCAGGGCAAGCCTGCTAATTTATCCTCCAAGCATTTATCTGTTTGGATTTTTTTATGCACGGGCCCTCAAATAGCTGGATAGTTGGCTCAGACAGTCTCGAGCTGAGAAGATGTCAAAGGGAAGAGCATCCACAGAATTTTTTGGTCTTTGGAAGATATTGTAGCTATTTGGTGACTCTTTTCTTATTTAGCTTCTATGCCGCAGACTCTTTGAGTAATATTAGTAGGTTGCTACGAAACCTGTATCTACTAAAGATTAGAGGCAATTGATAATGTCCTGCCTCAAGTAAATTTGAAATTTTCTCATTTTTGTACTTTTCTTTCCTTTGAGGGTTGCAGATGGTGGCCTGATTGCTATCTCTGGTCAGCTATGACTCAGAGGGAGTTTTTTTACTTGCGAATTGTCTTTAACATGGATATGTTTATTCAGGAATTCCAGTGATTGAACCATCAGAACTTTACAGAATGTCTTCAAGGAAACATCTTCTTCGAACATCTCTTGATGGACGATCTAGTCAAGCACCAGGTTTAATGCGGCATGGTCCATATCCTGGTTTAGTTCCTCTACCTGCTAGCAATCGGCCATTGGAACCATTACCTCCTTCCCTCAAACTTTTGGAAAATAAGATTCTGGCCCAGGGTGCAGAAATTGATCAACTTGCCGGAGAAAATCATAGATTGGCCGCCACCCATGTAGCTTTAAGGCAGGAGCTTGTTGCTGCTCAGCAGGAGGTACAACAACTTAGGGCACATATCAAAAGCACGCAGACTGAAAGTGACATCCAGATGAGGGTGTTGCTGGATAAAATTGCAAAATTCGAAGCAGACATAAGAGCAGGGGAGAGTGTGAGAGACGACCTACAGAAGGCACACAAAGAGGCACAAAGTTTAGTTGCTGCGAGACAAGAGCTGATTGTGCAAATTCAACGGGCAAAAGAGGAGCTAAATAAAACACTGCTTGATGCCGAGAGCTTGCTCCGTTTGCATGCTGAATTGGATGGCTTGATGCGAGAACACCAGAGACTACGGTGAGTCATTAGTCTGGATTTTTTAGTGATGCCTAAACAGAAAAAATGTCATGTTAATGACGGACTTGGAAGGCTTTTCCATTTTTCGAAGAACACAATTTTAGGCTAACAACTAATTATCGGTAATTTCGAGTGGTGCTGCTGAATATAAGTGAGTAATGACAAGTATAAAGAGTGGACACTTTCCCTGCAGTTCAGTTCACCCTCTCTGTTTAATACACGTGTTAGTAGACTAAAATGGATGGATAGGCACTAGGGTAAAAATAATTTCAAAAAATAAGTACCCAGCATTGGTCTACGTTCTTTTCCTTGAATTTGCTGTATTACTATCTTATTAAAGGTTGTTCTTTCATTCATTACTTTCCATTTGTGTTCTGTGTGATGAGAATTTTATCTGAAGTCCTTTCTTAACCGATAGGGTTGGTTAGTATGACTTGTGCATTTTGTCGATATGAGTGTAAATAATAGGACTGATGTATTCTAGAGACAAATTTTAGAAATTTCTGGATGTTTCTGGTAATTGTATTCACCTTCCATCTGTAGCACTACATTCGAGTATGAGAAGAGTTTGAACATAGAGAAAGTACGGCAAATGCAAGCAATGGAGCAGAATTTGATTTCAATGGCAAGAGAAGTAGAGAAGTTGCGTGTCGATGTTGTGTATGCTGAGAAGATGGCTTACGGTTAGTAGTCTTGCCTTTGTCGAATGAGGTGATTATATGTCGCGATGTTCTTCCAGAATTTCTATATGCACCACCTAACATATCTTTGTTGTTGATATATAACAAAGCACCGAACCCCCAGGGTGGTGTTGGCCTTTCAAACCCAGGTCCCTCAAATGTGGCCCGACTACAAGGTAGCAGCCCCTATGTCAATGGTTCCGGAGCTCATCATGGCGAAATGGGTCTTCGGGCTGCAGGAGAAAGAGCCATTCCATACAGTGGGAGCAGCGGTGCAGTTTCTGGCAGCAATATGGGTGGTGCGACAACTGCGAGTGCAAGTAGTGGTGTTGGCTGGGCAGGCACGTATGACCCTTCACTCGCTGGGAGATGAAAAACATAGATATGATGCCTTCAGATGTTCGATAATGCTTCTTGTATTATCTTGCACATGTTGGACATGACGTTATGTATAATAGCATACTAAATGTTTTGATAGCTCAATCTTTTGGGGTAAACAATCTCATGCCATTGTCCATAGCTCTCTTTGCAGACTGGTCTATAGTTCTAAAATCATGCTTCTTGCTTATTCTCTTACTGAACACCTTTCAAAACGATCGTCCAAGGAAAGCTTCTCTCCACTAGTCTACGCTCATTCATCGCAGCAGCATGCTTGCTTCGCTCATTCATTGCAGCTGGTCAATGCGTCAACGAAGTTTCTGTACTCAACAATGACCGAATCAGATCGTCTTTTACTTTGCAACACCATTGTTGGCAGAGAAACTCAGCTGCTCTTCGCCTTGTCAGAAGCATACTGATCATCTTCGCTGGTCTTCTGCATTGTGAATTAGTCCAGCAAGGTGGATTTTTGGCGAAGGGCAGTTGTGATTTGGGTGGAATTGTGAACCATGAAATGAAGCTCTCTTGGTGACGATAAATTGAAGAAGTGCCAAAATTATCTCCTGAACCGTGTTGACCCTTCTGATCATTCAGTACTCTTTTCGAGCTAGAGAAAGATGGAAAGGTATACGGACCATCTGTGTCATTTTCTCGTCCTAAAACCAACACACTTGTTCAGATGGGCTTGTTCTTCGGCCCAGAAAATGGGCCTCATTCTACATGGTTACTACACGTGGCGAACGCTAATTGGAAGGTGTGCTTCCCAGTGGCAAAGAGCGAGCCATTTTGGTACGGTCTCCTTCGAGAGGCAAAAGAACACGAAGAAAAACTCCCAGCTTCGATCTTCTCTGCGCGTGGATCTGTGCGACGCTCAAGCTTTCTTCCAGATCACTCATGGCGGACGTATGATCTCTCTCTCTCTCTCTCGCTCTCTTGGTTTGATTCGAATGTTCTTTCTTATACTTGCTTGGTTTCTATCGTATTTCCCCCGAAAGATAGTCAAGAGGGAAAATTCTGGGAAAGAAATGGGGCCGTCGTGAAGCTCCGCCGTCGAGCAGTCTGCGAACGTGTTTGAATGTGCGGTCAAGTTAGATACGAGGAGATTTCTCGGAAAAAGATACTGTTTTTTTCAGCTGCTTCATGGGATTTTAGGATTTTAATGGTGTGAGGACGATTTGGGGGAGGATGTCGAATTTTTGTGGTTTTCCCGCTTAAAGGGTATGACAACTCTGAGTTGTCCTATTGATTTGATGAGTAAATTTCTCGCCTTTACGAATTGGGTCGGTGTTTGGTCGAGAAGTTGCTGTACCGAGAGAATTGTGTTGACCTTTCGAAGTTGAAGATGAGTAAGGCTAATGGGTTCTGATGGGGAATATGTTGGATATAGGTGGTGCCTTTAATATGATTTCTTATTTTGAGTTCATTGCTATGGGTGAAACTTGTTGCATATGGTCATATTGTGCGGGCGATTGTGACTCTGAATCGGTACCATTCAGCGTGATCTTAGATAGGCTGTATCTTTCGCGTATAGCATGTCGAATGGGGGATTTGGAGGGATTTTGATGACCTGGACAGTGCAGGAAATGGTAGAAGTTTTCAACATTGGGGGAAAACTACGTGGGAACCATTTGAGGCAACTCTCTCATGCATTGTTCATATGAACGTGTATTTTAAAGCAGTCTGCTTGTTCAAAGTTCATATTATAGGGAAATGGAGGATTATTCATGATCTGACCAATTTCCTTCGATTATCATTTATAAGAATTCTGTGTTGAAATTATTGATTTAAGGAATTCTTTCATGTTTCAAAATTGCTTTTTGATGCCAAAATATGCATTGATGGCAATATGACAATATTAGTGCTACTGCGTACCCTGATTCAGTCATAATAGATGGATAATTTGATGGCTCTTACTTTTTTCCATAGAAGGTGCAATGATTTACTTCCCAGGCAAGGTCTCTAGTTTAAGTCCAGGATGGCCTAGCTTTGCCAAATTTGTTATGACAGCTCATGCTTTTTACCATGATATCTAAAATTTTTTTATTTGTTCATGATTCTTGTTTTCATGTCTTCGTCCTGCAAATCCCTTGTACTGCGTGCTAATTTTGTTAGCCAAATTTTTTTTTCGTTGTGTATGACACATTCTTTCTTAGTAATTGTTGATTTTTGTTTTCGAAGAAACGAACCTTCTGGAGCCCCTAATCCCTGTTCTAGAAATCTTTGTTTTAAGCCCTTTGCTCAATACTCTTTCCTTGCATTTCCAAGACAACTCACTTACAGTAAGACTAACATCCTATGACCATTATTTGAATTAGTTCTTTTTTATGTTAGATTGAACTGAAAACAGCACCAGCTGATTTTCGATTCCCTACAACAAACCAGACCAGACATTGCTTCACTCGCTACATTGAATTCCATAGGTACATTCAGTTTTAATGGTTTTGGTAATTGTACCACTGAGTTTGTCAGGCATTAATCGTATGCGGTCATTCCTCTTCTGCAGGTGCATTGCAGCAAAAGGCGAAGAGTCTGGTGACTGCGAGAAATTCGCCAAATACTATCGTTCCTTGTGCCCTGGGGAATGGGTGAGTGTGTCTGCTTCTTCTATTTTAGCACAGAGATTGGCTTTGTTTTATGCCTGCGGCTTCGAGTGAGCTTCCATATGGCAGTGGGGCATGCGGTTAGTGCGGGCAAAGTTGGTCCATTTTGTGATGACAATCAACTTACCATGAGATTTGATCGTTTGATATGATGTTCGTCTTGGAAAAATTCACATTTCTTACACTCATTTTGCAGTATGAGGAAAAACTTAGGAAAAATTTCTACTTTTTGTCCCTGTACTTCACGCTTTTTTCTAATCAAGTCCGTGTATTTTTAGTTTGTCTAATTAGTTCCTTCTACTTTCACAAATCTCTAATTAAGTCCTTCCGATACCAAATCCTGCCAAATCTAGCTGACGTACTTGTCGGCCGACCTCATAATGTGAGGTGGATAAATTTTTTGAATGGGGACGGCTACTTGGGCGTCCACATTGGCAAAAATAATGCACATCATACTTCAAAGATGTCTCCATTGGCTAAATTTTTTTCACATGTCCACCTGGGAATCCGCATGTTTTGTCCCCATTGTAATTTGGTGTTGTCTGATGGCTATTTTAGCCGAACTTTGTCGGATTTGGTGTCAGAGGGACCGGATGGGAAAATTTGTGAAAATAGGAGGAGTTGATTAGATAAATTAAAGGTATAGGGACTTGATTAGGAAAAACGTGAAAGTACAGATACAAAAATATAATATTTCCAGAAACTTATAGAAAAGAAACTCTCTCCTTGGTCCCGCGTTAAATTTTGGAAAACTACTGAAGCTTTCAGATTCGTTTGTTTTTTCAGAAGTATACTCATGTCAGAATATGCATTCATTGTAGACTTCTTGCATTTTCAGATTTGTGATGTACATCTGAACTTCAGTATAGAACTGTATTTTGGGGGATTTTACTGTTTCATCCCTTTGATAACCCGTTGTTTGCCTCCTTAGTCAGTCAAGCTTGCTATTAAAGAATTTTTCTTCTGCCAAGGATAATGAGGTTCTGATCTCTGCACAATGCGTGTCATTAGATGGCACTTCTCGTCACAAATTCTAGTTAGGCCACCCACCCTCTCCATAGGATGTGCAAAAGTAGAGGGCATAAGAACAAATATTCATTCTCATCAGCTCAACTAAGCGTGACCCAATTACCACTTTCGGAGCATATCACACTCAATTTTTAAATGCGCCTCAGATGTGCCAAAGTAGAGGGCATAAGAACAATATTCATTCTTATCAGCTCAGCTAAGTGTGACCCAATTACCATTTTCAGAGCATATCACACTCAATTTCAAACTGCACCTGCCCACCTCTTTCGTCGTTGCATCCCATCTGTGATCTCATCTTTTCTAGAGATATTGATAACATGATGCTGGGGATTGGGCTGGTGATATGTTATACGGACCAACTTCTCTTAGGTTGTTTAGTCATCAATAGATGTTTGAGTGATGGTACCTTACTATGCATCATATTCAGTTTGTAATCTCTTAAATGCTTATCTTGGTGTAGGTGGACAAGTGGAATGAGCAGAGGGAGAACGGGGCTTTCCCGGGACCTCTCTAATTTCAGACTTTGGGCATTCAGTGTGACCCTTATTGGTCACGGACGTGCAGATTGTTATGTTTGTTTCTGAAACTTGGCCCTCTAACTTGTGGATTTGATTCTAGAACAATAAGGCATCAAATGGAGCTTTTTGAGTCTGCCGAAGTTACTTCGATTTCATCAAACAACAACTCTATTTTTGTTGAAAATATTGCCTTTTCTGGTTGAGTTTAGCAGGTTTGGGTTTTAACCTAGAATCACTAACACTCACCTTAACTGCTTTGTCTGTCACCCGACATGAGATATTTTACATTTGAACTGCTTTGCGCGTGTTGGGAAAAGCTGTTATATCCACTCCTCGCTAATTCTCTTTTCGAGCATTTGAAGCACTGTCGCCACATGATATTAGCATCATTCGCATCGACCACAGATGCCGGTACTTGGAACTCTGTGTGGTAGTGCGGCATTTTTTTTTTCTCATCCTCCTAAATTTCAGGGCTTGACCAAGAAACTAACTCAAGCTAACTAATGAGAGTATGACGGAAGAAATGTCCATCCTTTGCGCAACCCAAACATTTGACCTTGACTCAGCTCATACGCAAGGGCTTCTTCAAGCTCCTTGTTTGTGTACACAAGTTTTGAGATAAACGCCATCGAAGAGTACACGGTAAGAAACAGGACCAGCAAATCATCTTCAGGAGATACCAAAGAAAAACAAGAATGCTTGTATTCAATAGAATGCATCCACAATGAGTTGATCAATGGGCAGACATGTTCTTCTAACACACAATTTGTTTGTTGTTGATAATTACTTGTATTGCTCACGAAAATGATTAAACGAATAAAATTTTCATTGTCAAGACAAATATTTAGGTATAAATTATTTATTGATAATGAAAATATTTTTTAAGGAGCACCTTTCTTTTTTAAAATCTGACATATGTGAAGCCCGGGGCAGAAGGACGAGCAATAGAAGATGTCGGCTAGCTGCTCTTGATGCATTTTCTAATTTAAGTAAAAGAAAGCACTATCTTATTAAGTAAAAACAAAGGCTAATCGATGGCCAATGGTAGTTGAAAAAGTCAAAACATGTGGCATGATTCTTAACAATCTCACCAAACGGTTGCTTTATTCAAGATCAAAGACAGAGTAGACGAAAGGGTCTTTTTATAATCCTTAGCAAGCATGATTGAAGGAAGACCCTGATCGCACGTGCACAACCGTGTGAAACATCACTATTAAAGTATTTCACATCGCGGGGTCGGATGGTTTGGGAAAAATGCCGCCCTTTGCATCGCAATTCAGTCATCCATCCCCATCTCGGGTGCCTCACAATCTTCCTTACTAAGAACACAAAGCAGAGAAAATACATGGATCACAGCTCTGCTAAATTTATGTTAGCAAGGGCAAAATCTTAAAGATTTGACGCATTGAACAGTACTTCAAAGACCGGTTCTCGTGCTTGCGCGACTGATATTTCGACTAGTCAAAAGCTAAATCTGTTTCCTAAAACCACAGGATAAAAACAAAAGAATCATTTTCCGAACCCCCCCAGTTGGCCAAAATACTGCCATACGTCTCAAAGGATTTGCATCGTCATGCTTGAGAACATCACGGGTCGTAATCATGTGATATCATATCGCAGCTACATCATCGAAGTTTGAGAGAAATGGCAGTGACAGATAGAGAAGTGGTCGCATTGTCCTGTTCTGCATATGCTTAGAGTTAGATTTGACCGAGCAACAACCTTTCCCCAAGTTCAGCAATAACCCGACGAATGACGCATGCTTGTAGTGCAAGTTTCTTTACAGATTGTGTTTGGGACACTCATTAAGTAACTTAATATCTTGAGAAATTAAACGCTAATGAATCATTAACGATGATGGTCCCACGTCGTATGACCTTTTCAACTGCAAGAAAAAGCCGGGGAGCTTTTCCTTGTCTCTCTCTCTCTCGCCTTCTTGATACTGTCAAAGCTGTGATTTTTAAATTGCTCACCGTCAGTCACCCCAGACTCCAACTGTCCCGGCAGTCCTCGTCCTCGTCCTCTTTAAATCACTCGAAACCCCCCCCACCACCCACCGTTTCCTGCATTCATTCGCCACCGCGTGCAGCCGGCGCAACCTCCGCCCCGCCACCGCGACCGGCGACTTCGCTCCGTCGCTCCTCGAGAGAAACCCACCTCAAAGATCGCGCCTTTTTCCCGATCCCGGCGCCATGGTCCGCCTGAGCAACAACCTCGTGGGCATCCTCAACCTCGTCACCTTCCTCCTCTCGGTCCCGATCCTCGGTGCCGGCATATGGCTCTCCAACCGGGCCAGCACCGACTGCGAGAAGTTCCTCGAGCGCCCCGTCATCGCCCTCGGCGTCTTCCTCATGCTCGTCTCCCTCGCCGGCCTCGTCGGTGCGTGCTGCCGCGTGTCCTGGCTCCTCTGGCTCTACCTCCTCGTCATGTTCTTGCTCATCGTCCTCCTGTTCTGCTTCACCGTCTTCGCCTTCGTAGTGACGAACAAGGGGGCCGGCGAGGCCCTCGGCGAGCGAGGGTACAAGGAGTATCGGCTCGGGGATTACTCGCATTGGTTGCAGAAGCGGGTAAACAGCACCAAGAACTGGAGCAAGATCAGGAGCTGCCTGAGCGACGGCAAGGTCTGCTCGAGCTTTCAGGACCAGTACTTGAACGACACTGTCGAGAAGTTTTACACCGAGCACTTGTCTGCTCTTCAGGTGAGTTCAGATCTGCCCATCTCTGTTTCTGGATCTTTGTTGTTCGTTCTGACTTTTTGGGTTCTCTCTTGAGGATGTGAAGATTGAATGTGTAACTGTGCTGTGGTTTCTTCTTGTGGGCGGTTTTGATTTAGGCGTCTGGAGATAGTAATGTTTCATGGTCGTTTTGATTGAGATCTGACCTCGTGGACTTGACCCCGGTGGATCGTTGATTGTGATTATCCATGTTTGATTATTATGGATTGTGGGTAAAAGCTTAGACCTTTTTGGACTTATTCCTGTTTCTTCTTCCCTCTGTCATAGATTTATGAATTTTTCATCAAACTTTTCTGCAGGTAGTTCTTTGTGTATTCTTTTTTCTGGTCCTCAGAGATCTCTTTCCATAGAATGATGGAACTGCTCTGACCATGAACTTTATGTCATTTTGCACTTTTCAAATTTCTCTGGGCATTACTTTGTGAAGTTCAATGATGCATCTTCAGAAATGCCAGCACCTTTTTTCCATAAGAATATCAGGTAGTCGCCTTTCGTGATGGCTATTAAGCGTTTTAATCCAGAGGCATTATGCATGCACTATGCCATGACAGGTTTACGGATATTTTCTTTGCAATGCTATGTACAAATTCATCGTGCCGTTCTGAGTATGATATGGTGGTTCGACATGTATGAGTCAAATGAGGCCCTGGCCAATTGCAATATAGCAACACATCTGCCTCCAATCTTCTAGTCGAAAGTACCCACTGGAAATTTGAGCACCGGGTTTGCAAATTTTGTAGTGTGATTCTGATTGATTGCATCTCACTTTTAGAGTCTGAGCTTGCAGGCACATGTTTGTGTATTGGTTCTGCCATTAAGCTGCACTTGTTTTTATCAATCAGAATATGACATTCCAATGATCTTTGTTTCGTGATGTGCAGTCTGGTTGCTGCAAGCCGTCGAATGACTGCAATTTCATCTACGTGAGCCCGACCGTGTGGAACAAGACTGCTGGCGCTGCCTACTCCAACCCCGATTGTAATGCATGGGACAATGACCCCAAGGTTCTGTGCTACAATTGCCAGTCGTGCAAGGCCGGGCTGTTGCAGAATGTCAAGAGCGACTGGAAGAAAGTGGCCGTGGTCAACATCATATTCCTCCTCTTCCTCATTGTTGTATACACGGTGGGTTGCTGTGCCTTCAGGAACAATAGAGAGGACAACTATTATGGTAGATACAAGGGGCCTTACTAAATGGTACACTATAGCTGGATCACATGCTTGTGTACATGACTGATTAGCTGATGACGTTATGTTTTTACTTCTTGTTCAGCTGCTACAATTCGATTCAGTTGGTCCTGTACAGCATCCTATCTTCGGGATTTGGTGATTACTCTATTGCTACATTGCTTTTGTGTTCGGTTACTTTACGTGCCATGAGTTTATTCGTATATCCACTTGGCCCTTCTACCTTAAACCTACGGTGTGTCTAGGGAAATTACTGCCAGCGGGCCACCACTGGTAGTGGCTCTTACTGCCGTTGCGGTGGTGTTGCTGGTTTTGTGCTGTTAGACTTTGGTATGCCATAGCTTATGGTTACTAGATCAGTTCTGTGGCCTTTTCTCTTGAGAGATGTTTTCTTTATCGCTGGGTCAACTTCATTTTTTTAAATGGGCGTCTTTATTTAATGTAAATTATGGTGTCTTAGTTCATCCCTTCAGGTTTCATTTTATCAAAGTAAACGTGTAGGTGAGGTGGAGCGGAAATGGTTGGTCAAAAGAGGAAAAGCAAAGGGTTGAGTACAAATGAGAAAGGAGGAAACAATCGGCTGAGAAATTCTGTTGTGGTTGGTCTATCCGATTGGGGCAGCTAACCTAACCCGGCAAATTAATTGCGTTTAAGAGTAGCAATTGATTGGAGACTTTCATAAGCAAATTATCTCTGAGGTGCTAGTTACATGTTTCTAAAAATTGGAACTTCATTTGATAAACAAACAACTTTACAGGAAAGGTGGGCTTGACCAAAGATGTAGAACATTGCATCAGCATTTCCCTGTCAAATCGGTCCACCGGTTACTTCGAATGCTAATTTGATACAGGTTAAACCCAAAGAATTGTTTTGCTCTTAAAGATAAATGGGTTGCTTGGTGGGTGAGAAAACAGATGAGAGAGCACAGTTTTCGGAATCTCTGAACATCTTTTTTTTTGCATTGTCAATTTTTCAGAAATTGCACTTAACATCTTTGGACAGAGTTCTTCCGCATTTGAGGAGTTACCATCTGCATAAAGAAAACTTTGGCTTAAAGGTGACTTACTTAGTACTTACCACATTGGCAGAGCCAGGGCACCGGCTGATCTTGTTATCATTTTTGACAAATCCGTAAAATTTAATTAACTTTGGCTGATCATGCTGTGATTTGGTTCTCGCAATGCTTACTGGGTTCAAGGTTAATCAATGGTTTTGTTGCTGATCCGGTAATGCGGCAAGCTTTATGAATTACATCTTGTTTTACACTGAAGTCTTGGCAGTCAAGAAATGGACAATACGATTTTACTGTTGATCGATATGCATTGAAAAGTTTGTGGTTCGTGTTTTTCCCACTTCAATCCCGCACCTATACTAAATAAATTTCCTTCTCCTGCTGGCATTTCAATAGTTGGTGCAAGCAACATCTGGAGTCCTGAAGGTTAAAGGACAATGAAAAGAAGTACACTGTAATTCAAATACAGTAAGGAAATTCGTAAAACTTGTCGACCTAGACAGGGCTTGTTTCATCAGCTGATTTATCTGATAAAAGAGGTTCTGATAAATGACATTTAGAACTTGACAGCTTCTCTAGTAAGGACTCATCGCCAGATGATTTCACAGTGTGAGCACAATCAATTTGAAGCTTGGGCCTTGTCTCTTCATTGATCTCAACGTCTTTAGCTTTACTCCACAGCACTAAGTATAAGCCAGCTACTACCCCAATTGCACCTGCCAAGCTGCAGTAGAATACAGCATGTCAATTTCTTTGAAATCCTCAATTTGTACATCAGACTGAAAATTCAAGATCAAAGTATGAAGTTCAACCTATGGAACAGTAAGTTATTCTTAACACGCAAAATTGTTCCTCATAACACATAGGACTGACCGTCCAAGATAGGAATGAAGACCCTACCCTCCGATATATATTTCTTCGTGCAGAAAGATAGCAGCGAAAATGGTAACTATAACAGTGCTCAGCGGGGTGAACGTGGAGGAGAAGAGAGGGCCTCTTTGGGAAACGCACCACGACTGGATGAAATAAGAAATTCCAGATCCTACTATTCCTTATTCACAACGAGCCAAACAAAGGAAATAGAACGTCAAACTAGAGTAATTCGTATGAATAGTTCCAATTATGACAACTTTTATATGGTATCTCGTGTTGAGATGAACAGCTTTGATGTAGTTACTTACAGCATACAGAACAGCAGCTATTCCGAGCTTGGAATGGATCTTCCATGCTTCAGGATCTTGTTCTAGGAATAATGTAATGACTGCACATTGGATTGTGGATATAAAACACATCCAAGCCGTTAGAGATAGAGGGTCAGGATGGATTGCCGACATTGGGACCTGATGAGAAAATTATTGGCTACTTTAGTGATCCTAATGGCATGTATGCGAGAATCGATGGATTACAGTTCAATACATGCAGAATCAACCAAATCGACCAGCAACAAGCACTTCCAATGAGAAGTACGCAACCCAGCAACCGTCACCTTCAGAAGCAAAAATAGACCTTGCGCGTAGATGCGACTCTGCATTTAGAAGTTTTGGTCCCCTGAGCAACGTCAACACAATCTCTCCGCCGACGCAGACTGCCGTGCCCAATGTCTTGGCAATGCTTCCTAGACTTCTTCCATTAACCTTCTCCATTCTCAAGTTTTAAAGCAACAAACAAATGTGGAATCTCAGTGATTAGATTTCTACATCAGAATTATGTTCCTAATAACCACATTTGAGTTTCGAAGTACTTTTTTGAGGCGTGTGATCATTCTTTAGATATTGGTCATTGAATAGATTTCTTTGAGCTTAAGAAAACGTTTGGTTGTTCTTCATTAGCTTAATTCAGGTCATTGGTGCTTAATTAGTTTTGACTTTAATCACGGGGACTGTGGAGGGCAATTATTTCCTATATTATGGTTATTTGAATTCCTCAAGAATAATCGAAATACAGTTGTGTGTACTTACCTAATAGCAGACGCCATCAGAAATGTGGTTGCAGGGATAAGATTGTTTATTGCACTAGTGGTCGATGACGAGGATAAGTACAAACCCTCATAGTAAAAGTTTTGACGGATTGCTACCCTGCAAATGTCTATTCTCATGAATCATACAATCTTTGAGGTGAAAAGCACAAACATTATTTGACATGACCTAAGCGTTTTAACTTCTAAGGGAAACTTACCCCATGAGAGATGCCAAGAATATCAAAGAGAAGCTCTTCCATCGCAACGAAGTCCTGTGAGACTTCCTGCAAAAACTCAAAACTGAGAGAGAGAGAGAGAGAGAGAGTGAGTCCAACAGAACAGTTCAGTACCGCCAAAAGAAGGCAATAGGTGAAATGAAAAGTGTGGCTGAGGCTTGTCTATACACAACAAAGACTCTAGGGCTCACCCCTTCTAAAAGAGCAACTCCAGCGAACAAAGTAAGAGCTGCATAAGTAAACTGCAGGTCAAACATGGCCATGACAGGCTTAAAATCATCAAAACAACCCATCCTTTCTTAGCTTCTCAAATGATATCACTTAGCCTCATTATGAAGCCATACAGGCTGACAGATATTAGTGTGGAACAAGGGGATGGTGTTCGTATTTATACTGCTATGTGAACAAATTTACAAATCAGAGACAGAGAAAGTTGTGATCCTTATGTTCCTAAGAAGGTAAGCACATGGAGACAAAGCAAGAAGAAGCAAAAGACCAAGAGAAAGATGCAATATTTATACCGTCCGAACAGGTTTCTTAATAAAATCAGGATTGCCTCAAGATGGCATCAGGTTTTACGGTAACTAGTTCAATATTTGGAATGATTGCGTTGATGGCCACCCAAAAAATTAACTTAATTATTATTAAAATACCATAACAGTACTAATGATTCTCATGCAAAATGCTGTCTTTCCTTATTCTAAGTTTGTGTTTGGAAGTTTGAACATCAGAGGAAAGAATTAATAGGGAAAGCAAAGACGATTTAGTTCCTTTTCTGGAAGAAGAGAGATTGTAGAGAGTGAAGGGAAGACAGCTGTTCCCTCCCAAGATGCAATCATGCGTAAAGTCATTACGAAAGTCGGATTAGGACTTGCAGATTACCTATCCTTATATACCGTGGCTTTCGGGAGGCATTATATAGATCATATCGTGGGATTGTCTATAATTTCAGTTAAATGTTTAGGCTACAAAAAGTTGCTGCTCATCACCTCGACTAAGCCACACAAATCAATGTCGTTTCTTTCATTTAGCACCTAGCAAACCCAAAACCTTTCTTCTCTTAGTGCAATAGAGATATTATGGTGATCATGATAATTACCTCCCTATCACAACCAAGAAGAACATATTTGTCTCTCTTTGACCTTTTTATAATGACAACATACCTTGAGCAAGAAGATGCATTTGCACACCACTCAAAAGATCCTCTCGCGTTAGAAAATTACTAGTAAAGTTTCAAAAGAACTTATTGACATGATTGATTTCCATTCTTCATTCGCAGTTGCATCATCAGTAGATACATTTCATCAATTTGGGTCTTCTTCAATATCATATTCCATAGTGACTATACTACAAAAAACAATATAATGAAAGATGAGCAAATTGTGTATAATGCATATATCAACCACAATATTCAATCTTTGAGAAAATTCTCGTAAATTTGTATAGAAAATCATAGTCAAAAAATTCATGATCATGAGAAAATGCAGTAATCATATATATCAACTAAGGAAAGTCCTATATGGACTTTGTCGAACATCTAAATTCGATCCTATCAACGATGCAAGAAAGTAATGAAAATTCGCACAACACAAGAATTTACGTGGTTCAGCAGGGGAGATGTTCCGCCTACCTACGTCCACTGGGAGAAGCGATCCGTTTCACTAATAATGTAGAAAAGTGTACAGCTACTCTTTCTCACTCCCTGCCTCTATTCTAGAGACCCGTTTCGCCTTAAATATATATAGCGAAACCCTACATGGCACAAATTACAAAATTGCCCACATAGCCTAAAATATTTAGCTTTTCCTTATAAATCATTCTATGACTGAACATAAAACGCCTCTGGCGGCCCGGGGGCGCTGCCCCCGCGACCCCCGCCGGGGTGGCCCTCCCGGACCCCCGCCCGCTCACCGACGAGCGGGACCCCCGTGCTGTCCAGTCGTCAGGGGGCCTTTCGGAACCGCCTCATAATCTCTTGGATAACATAATACAAGATATCAACCTCAACAGACTCAAGCAAGATCCTAGAGCCTGGTACAAAAGGCTCGACACTTTTCTTGTAGAGAATGAATTTGAGAAAGGAAAGGTGGATATTACTCTATTTACTAAGAAGAAAGGTAATGGTATCTTACTCATTCAAATTTACGTTGATAATTCAAATAACGATTCGCGTGTATGATGAAAAGCGAATTTGAGGTGAGTTTAATGGGTTAAATTTCTTCATTAGACTTCAAGTCAAGCAATTGAAGGAACGGACCTTCATATTTCAAGAGAATATGCAAAGGAACTTGTGAAGAAGTTTGGCATGGAAAATAGTAAAAAGGAAGATACCCCTATGTCATCTTCATAGAAACTGGACAAAGATGAGACGTGTAAGTCTGTTAATAGCAATCTAGACCAAAAAAAAAAAAGTCTGTTAATAGCAAGCTCTACAGAAGCATTATAGGTTCATTATTGTATCTAATTGCTTACAGACCAGATATTTTGTTTAGTTGTATGTATTGGTGCACGTTTTCAATCCAATCTAAAAAAGTCACATTTCAAGGCTGTTAAACATATCATTAAATATCCGACGAAAAAAAAAGTATCATTAAATATATTGCATCTTTTCCCAAGCTAGGCCTATGGTATGTAAAAAACTTAGATTTTACACTACTTGAATATTCAGATGCTGATTTTATAGGATGTAAAATAGACAGAAAAAGCACCACAAGTACTTGTCAATTAAGGGGATGTAAGCTTAACTCATGGTTCTTGAAGAAGCAAAACTCAGTGGCACTATCTGCGGCTGAAGCTGAATATGTGGCACTTGGAAGTTGTTATGCCCAAGTCTTATGGATGCAACAACAATTAAGTGATTTCAATGAAGACAGCTTAAGCACCATAATCAAATGTAATAATACTAGTGCAATCAATCTCACGAAGAATCCTGCTATGCACTCCAAAGCAAAGCACATTGTGATCCATCATCACTTCATAAGAGACCATGTCAACAATGGTGATATCAGCATTGAGTTCATTAACTTAAAGCACCAATTGGCAAATATCTTTACAAAGCCATTAGACAAGGTTGCATTCGAATTCATAAGGAATGAACTTGGCATTGCAATCCACTTGAGTGAATTTTTGGTATAAGCAATGCAAATGATCAACACTCCAAAAAATCAGCACTACAAGTAAGTACATGTACAAGATTTTTCGAAAAAGTTACCGTTGTACTGATCTTGTCCGTTACCATACTTGGAACATTTGCACCACGACTGATTGATCACACACTTATCCATTGTGATGATTGCCACACTTAACAATTTAATTCCTTCTAATTTTTTGAAAAGTTACCATTTGAATACGAGTAACTCTCTCTCTTTCTCTCTCCTCTTCATGTACGCAATCATCACATATTTATATGGTGATCGTGGTTCAATAGTTACTGGTGATTACTCACGAGTAACCATCTCCTTCTCTCTCTTGCTAATCCTCTTATAGTAACTTCTCTCTCTCTTCTATTCGAACACTCTCATTTCACTTCTCTCGTTCTTCTAAAAATCTCCATGGCTCCTAAAGCTCCTTCTAAGAGCACTCACAAAACCACTAGCACCCGAAAATCAACTCGCATGGCCAC